TAGCCTGTTGGTCCCCATGCTCCCAGGTGGTCTCCACGGGCATGGCTGAAACGGGACCAAAGGGTCGGACGGCGTTTGTAATCTTGGAAACCCAGCCAGTTACGTGGCCATGAGCTGCAGGCTCTTTCAGAGCAGCCAAGAGGCCGTGAACTCTGTGGCCAGAGCATCTGCCGAGCCAGCAGACCTCAGACCAGTGGTATTTGCCGCAAGAAACGTTTCTGGTCTGGCAGTGGGCTCTTTGTCCTCAAGGGGCGGGGCTGCTAATCTGGCCCAACAGCTCCCTGGGAGCCTGGACTGTTTTCCTTAGCAGCATTTCCTCTCTCCCATTGTTTTTGTTTTCTACTCGGTGCCTACTGAGAACTGGCCTGCCAGGCCTGGAATTGTAATGACCGACCTGGGCTGGGCGGGCACCAGGGACAAGGAGCCAAGTCCATAGGCCAGGGTCAGTGACTTCCTTGCGGGTGCAGCAGGTGCCCCTGGAAACAGTGTCCGTGTGGCTCTGCCCAACTGTCCGTTCCTGGGACGTGCGCCTGGAGGGATGGCAGGGCAGGGTCTGAGCCCGAGCCTGACGAGTCTGATGCCTGACCCCCCAGGGGCCCCTCTCCCACCCCCTTCCTCCAAGGCAGCTGGGACTGCCTGTCAGCAAGCTTCTGGCTGCGCTGACCTCTGGGTGAAGGACGCTGACCTGTGGGTGAAGGACGCTGACCTGTGGGTGAAGGACGGGCCTGTGCAGTTCACACGTCAGAGCTCACTGGTGAGGCAGACAGTTTTCAGCTACAGCGGGGCCTTGACTTACGAGTGTCCCGACTAATGAGTTTTTCGAGATGCAAGCCATCTCTCGGTCGATTTTTTGCTTTGAGTTGCGAGCTAAAATTCGGGCTACGAGCAGCTTCAGATACCCCACCGCGAGTTTGCGCAGCGGACGTCATAGGTAACGCCACCACATCAGCCCAGCATCACGTGTCTCACTCATTCACTTTAAGATTTGACATACAAGTAATTTGAGTTACGAGCTCTGTCACGGAACGAATTAAACTCGTCAGTCAAGGCCCCACTGTATTTGTTAACGAGGCCCGGGGCACGGATTCGTGCACACCAAAAGGACATTCATTAGAAGAAATAT